TGGTAGGTGGGCACCATCTAGTTCTTCTGGTCTCAGGTGCTAAGAGGCTGTGGTTTGTGTGGACTGATAACCCTGTGACCTGCTTTGTTCTTTGAGCCGTTGGTTTCCTCCATTCTCTTTTACTCCAGATGAGTAGAGACTAATAGTTGTATCCTAGATGGCCACTCGGAAGGTTATAAGACCCCTGCTATATATAACTCACCCAACTATTATCTTGATGGACTAAGGTGGGCCAGTTGACCATGTTTTTCACATTACTATGGACCTAATCATTTTTGTGTTAGGGTTATCTAGAGAAACAAAACTAGGACACTTATGATTATATATAATCCATATATATGTGGATAGATATATACAGCACAAAGGAATATAGCAGCTAATTAGTCCACAGAGCAGTGCAGAGGACTCAGTACAACTCACTTCTGTGAAAGTTAATATACTGAAAGTCCTTTAACTCACAAGGGTTGCTGTCTCCAATGTCAAGGAAGCAGACAGCTGAGTCTTCCCTCGGGCAATGCAGGCTGTCTGGCCACAGGCAGCAAACAGCAGGGCGAGTCACCAACAGTCAACTAGATGACAGGAGCTGCCAGTCCCCAGCTCAAGCAATGTATATACCAGCAGTGTGGCAAAGCAGGTCTTAAAGGAACCTCAAGCTCCAGCGACACCGTCCACGGTTTGGGTGTCCCATAGGTAATGTAGCTTGCAAGTTGAGGTGGAAAACTAGCTAAGGCAGCCTCACACTGGTTCAATCACCAGAGAGCAAGAGAGAGAGGTGGGGCTCGCTGGGCCATTTATCTCTTTGCCCTCCAATCAAACTTCGACCTTATTAATCCCACATGTTCTTATTCACCATGTTGGCACAATAAACCTACCTATCACACTTTTAACCCAGTAAACCCGCCTTGGGATTTGTTTGACTGTGTCTAGGAAGTCTCTGTAGCTATGCCTCCTATGTGCTTAATTATGTATGTAGATAGTCAAGGGAGTAGCTCAAAGCTCATGGGAAAATGGAATTTAAAGATAAAGGGATTTGTTCTTGAACTTTTTAAAGCCCTCATGTGTGTCAGCACACACAAAGATGTATATACACATGTCTATAGGTGCATCTATACAAAAACATTCTTGGACTTCCATATACCGTTTTGTATACATAAATGCATACACTTCTGCCTATGTAACCACACATATTTTTGGTTGTTATTGCTATTGCTGCAAAACTGTGTGCACTACAGCCTTTAGAGAAATTATCCCCTTCCCTTGTGTATTTCTGTAGCATCTTCATTTACTATAATCAGGTTATGCAGATTTCCCCGGCGTTTGGTATAGTCTTTCCTACCACCCAAAATAATAAGTTCTCCTCCCTAGAAAGTGAGTCCCCCTCCCTCTCCACCTTACCCTTGGTATCCAGCAAAAAACATAACTTTATTCTTTTTCTTTTTTAATACTTTATTGGGGGCTCTTACATTTCATCACAATCCATACATTCATCCAGTGTGTCAAGTACATTTGCACATATGCCGCCATCATCATTTTCAAAGCATTCTTTTCCCACTTGAGCCCCTGATATCAGCTCTACATTTCTTTCCCCTCCCTCGCTGCCCTCCCTCTCTCATGAACCCTTGATAAGTTATAGATTATAATTTCCATCTCTTACATCGTCCTCTGTCACCTCCCATCCACTTTTCCATTATTCATTCCCCTCAGAGGGGGTTATAGTTTGATCCTTGTGATCGATTCCCCTTTTCTCCCCCTCCCCTCCCCTTATCCTACTGGTATCTCTACTCTCCTTGTTGGCCCTGAGGGGTTTATCTCTCCTGGATTCAAT